ATCCAGTGCCACACTACATGTTGGTGTCATCCAGTGCCACACTACATGTTGATGTCATCCAGTGCCACACCACATGTTGGTGTCATCCAGTGGTGTCACATGTTGGTGTCATCCAGTGCCACATGTTGGTGTCATCCAGTGCCACATGTTGGTGTCATCCAGTGCCACACTACATGTTGGTGTCATCCAGTGCCACACTACATGTTGGTGTCATCCAGTGCCACACTACATGTTGGTGTCATCCAGTGCCACATGTTGGTGTCATCCAGTGCCACACTACATGTTGGTGTCATCCAGTGCCACACTACATGTTGGTGTCATCCAGTACCACACTACATGTTGGTGTCATCCAGTGCCATATGTTGGTGTCATCCAGTGCCACACTACATGTTTGTGTCATCCAGTGCCACACTACATGTTGGTGTCAACCAGTGTCACATGTTGGTGTCATCCAGTGCCACACTACATGTTGGTGTCATCCAGTGCCACATGTTGGTGTCATCCAGTGCCACATGTTGGTGTCATCCAGTGCCACACTACATGTTGATGTCATCCAGTGCCACACCACATGTTGGTGTCATCCAGTGCCACATGTTGGTGTCATTCAGTGCCACACTACATGTTGGTGTCATCCAGTGCCACACTACATGTTGGTGTCATCCAGTGCCACACTACATGTTGGTGTCATCCAGTGCCACACTACATGTTGATGTCATCCAGTGCCACACCACATGTTGGTGTCATCCAGTGGTGTCACATGTTGGTGTCATCCAGTGCCACATGTTGGTGTCATCCAGTGCCACACTACATGTTGGTGTCATCCAGTGCCACACTACATGTTGGTGTCATCCAGTGCCACATGTTGGTGTCATCCAGTGCCACACTACATGTTGGTGTCATCCAGTGCCACACTACATGTTGGTGTCACCCAGTGCCACACTACATGTTGGTGTCATCCAGTGCCACACTACATGTTGGTGTCATCCAGTGCCACACTACATGTTGATGCCATCCAGTGCCACACCACATGTTGGTGTCATCCAGTGGTGTCACATGTTGGTGTCATCCAGTCGTGTCACATGTTGGTGTCATCCAGTGTCACACTACATGTTGGTGTCATCCAGTGCCACATGTTGGTGTCATCCAGTGCCACATGGTGGTGTCATCCAGTGCCACACTACATGTTGGTGTCATCCAGTGCCACACTACATGTTGGTGTCATCCAGTGCCACACTACATGTTGGTGTCATCCAGTGCCACATGTTGGTGTCATCCAGTGCCATACTACATGTTGGTGTCATCCAGTGCCACACTACATGTTGGTGTCATCCAGTGCCACACTACATGTTGGTGTCACCCAGTGCCACACTACATGTTGGTGTCATCCAGTGCCACACCACATGTTGGTGTCATCCAGTGGTGTCACATGTTGGTGTCATCCAGTGCCACATGTTGGTGTCATCCAGTGCCACATGTTGGTGTCATCCAGTGCCACACTACATGTTGGTGTCATCCAGTGGTGTCACATGTTGGTGTCATCCAGTGCCACACTACATGTTGGTGTCATCCAGTGGTGTTACATGTTGGTGTCATCCAGTGCCACACTACATGTTGGTGTCATCCAGTGCCACATGTTGGTGTCATCCAGTGCCACACTACATGTTGGTGTCACCCAGTGCCACACTACATGTTGGTGTCATCCAGTGCCACACTACATGTTGGTGTCATCCAGTGCCACACTACATGTTGGTGTCACCCAGTGCCACACTACATGTTGGTGTCATCCAGTGCCACACTACATATTGGTGTCATCCAGTGCCACACTACATGTTGGTGTCATCCAGTGCCACACTACATGTTGGTGTCATCCAGTGGTGTCACATGTTGGTGTCATCCAGTGGTGTCACATGTTGGTGTCATCCAGTGGTGTCACATGTTGGTGTCATCCAGTGCCACATGTTGGTGTCATCCAGTGCCACACTACATGTTGGTGTCATCCAGTGCCACATTTTGGTGTCATCCAGTGCCACATGTTGATGTCATCAAGTGCCACACCACATGTTGGTGTCATTCAGTGCCACACCACATGTTGGTGTCATCCTGTGCCACATTTTGGTTTCATCCAGTCCCACATTACATGTCATCCAGTTGACACAAAATCCAGTCCAACACGAATAAACCTGCTGTACGAAACTTAATTACCGCGATATTAAATTAGATAACTCAGGTATCTCTCACTCCTAGGTGATGCTTGGATAAACTCACATGTCATCATAATAATATATCTACAAGTATGTTTAGTACATATATATATATATATATATATATATATATATATATATTTATATTTATATTTATATTTATATATATATATATATATATATATATATATATATATATATATATATATATATATATATATATATATATATATATGTATATATATATATATATATATATATATATATATATATATATATATATATATATATATATATATATATATATATATATATATATATATATATATATATACTAGCCGTCCCGGCCAGGCCCTGCTGTGGCTTATGTGAAAAACCTTTCTGTTAAAGACCATTACCTGTGTGTTTAGTAATCATCATAAACCCGGCATTGCCCACCCAAACCACAATCAACCAAAACCAAAACAACAAAACGCAAACATAACGCTAACACAATTACAAATACAAACGAAAACAAAAACCTAACAACAAACACAACCACACACACCAATACAAACACAAAGAAAAAACAAACAAAAAAGCAAACGAAAACAAAAACCTAACAACAAACCCAACCACAACCACAAACACCAATACGAACACTAAGAAAAAAAACGAAAAAGCAAACGAAAACAAACCAAATCCAAACGCAAAACCAACCACAAACACAAACCCAAATAAAAAAAACACAAACAAAGAAGCAAACGAAAACAAACCAAATCCAAACGCAAACGAACCACAATCACAAATACAAACACAAACCCAAAGAAAAAACAAACAAACGAAAACGAAAAAAGAAAGAACAAAAACGAACCAAATCAAAACGCAACCACTAACGCAAACCCAACCTAAACACAATGAAAATACAAACGCGAACATAAACGCAAAGTGCTCACAGTCTAGCCCGGGGCAGAATCGCCTGTTTCAGCTTAATAAACGACTATAGTACCCCAACTTATTCATAGTCTTTTGCACTCACTTAAACGAACGTAGTTGCCAAACCAAACCAAATGAACAATTATAATACTCCAAGCTTATCCGTAAAATACCTACAACATTTGCACTTGATCAATCCCCGCTAATTATGTAATTATTTTTTTCCCAACACCAAAACAAATTAATAAAAAGTAACATTTTTTCCACTAATGCAATGTTTTATAAAAGGAAGTAATTGTGTTTTCCTAATTTATCAAAGGGAGGTAAGTGCTAAAGGACTAAATATAAATAATTTTCAGACATAATTAGAATTTTTGCTATTTTTTTAAAATTGTGTTTAATGAACATGCCGACAATTATTACTATCAGTTTGAAAAATGAAAATTATTTCCCAACACTTTCAATAGTATTGTTTTAACTCATAAATTTAGACTATGAGCACGATAATAGTCTAACACTTAAATCCATCCAAGTATGTCAACGACAAACTTATTACATACAGAATTGAGCTTTATATATATAATATATATAATATATATATATATATATATATATATATATATATATATATATATATATATATATATATATTTATTTTTATTTATTTATATACATATACATATACACAAATACAGTGAGTCTCTTTCTCTATTTCTCTGATATAAATAAATAAATAAATAAATATATATATATATATATATATATATATATATATATGTATATATATATATATATATATATATATATATATATATATATATATATATATATATATATATATATATATATATATGTATATTTATTTATATCAGAGAGATAGAGAAAGAGACTCACTAGTACATTAAACAGCTATTCGCTTTAAAAAACAACAAAATATTCCACTCGGGAGTTTATGGGTTAAGTCATATATTCATTTCTCTAACTTTTGTGTTAAGGTCTGTTTCTGTAGTCCACTATCACGATAAGCTGACCAGGATAAAATATTTGCTGCCTTTTAAAGTGACCGGTTTTTGTAAATCTAATTTTTAAAATTTCTATTTTAATAGATTCTATTTATACAGTTACAAATTTATTTGTAATTTCAGATTTTTAACACAATTAATAACTTAAATTAATAACTTTATTAATAACTTAAACATATTTGACTGAATTGCGTGAGTCTGTGGTTTTATTTACAAAGGAATTTGATGTGATACACCGTCAAGATAACGATATTGCAACGGACAACTTAACTATAGAAGCTCTGCAACAGCGCAGGCATGGGGATGATTGCAGTAATTAATGATGACAAAACAGATCTGTAGGTAACAGGTGCGAGACCTGTTGAGGTCAGGTGTTGAGATCTACCCAATGGCCAGGTCAGGTCATACTAGATGGCCGTGTCTAGCAATGATTTGGGCCACATACCTACTTGTCCTAACAGTGATGCGGCCCACCTACCCGAGCCTGGCTAAGCACCTATAGTCAAAGCACCTGTAGTCAAAGCACCTATAGTCAAAGCACCTGTGGTCAAAGTCCATATGGCAAAGCCTCTATGGCCGAACCCTCTATGGTCAAAGCACCTGTGGTCAAAGCCCCTAGGACCCTATAAAGCCACAAACTAGCTTCTGCAGACTACTGCCTATAAAATATGTAATATATATGTATATATATATATATATATATATATATATATATATATATATATTAAAAACGCAATGGGCGGTGCTCAGTGTGTGCACGTTTTGATTATACCACGTCCGCAGATGAGAGGAAATCTGATTGGCTACAAGTTGCCTGGATTATGTATATAAACTACTGGATGTTAATCCAAAATCCACGGCTCACCTGTTGATGCAAAAGCAAGTAAAGCGTTTTGTTTTTGAAGAAAACTGTCCGCCAAAGTTACAGGTATTACTTTTCGTATTATTTTAGCTATGTAGTCAATTTATCTAGTTACTCAGTGTTTCTATTGTATGTACGTCTCGTACTTAGTTGCTGGTCAGTATAACATGTATTGAATCTCTCATTATACCACTCTCTTATTTGTGTGAATATGTGTATCGTTTATTAAAACAATACCATTTCGATACCTCGAATATGATTTTCAGGAATAGTAGGAAATTCCCCTTAATATTACAATTAAAAACGAAGAAGAAAAAATAAGTCTTTTTACTCTGATCTTGAACTTTCGTACAATCTATAATCTCACAGTCACAACAAGGAATAATAACTAAAAATAGATGGAAACGTCCATTAACGTATGTACGTTTCAGTAATCATATTAATCAATCATATGACACACACTGCCTCAACATATTGCTTGCTCAATCAAAAGTTTTCTATTGTACCCAAAATGTTAATTAACGAAACTGTTTTTTTTTGTCGAATATTACATTGTGCTACATGAAATCAATGCACTGAAATATCTATAATTTTTAATGTTCAAATACAGGTCAAAATGATGCGTTTCCTATTACTATCGATTTTCTTGCTGCAGTGTGTCAGTAAGTAACAAATATTTCACGAATTCCTTATCTGAAATAATTTTTATTTGTGTTATATGAAGTTTAATGTTCTCAATATTTTAGTGGACGTTTGACATCTAGTGTTTATGGACACAAAATAGGCAGTAAAATCATTCATTCTGTTTCATCCAATTTGTTTACTAATTATGCTTTCGTACTATGATTAATTTTATAAAGTTTAAACGTTTTTGTAATATTTCCTTAATTTTTGTAACGGTTCTTTGTTTAAAAAAATAAAAATATTATGAGCGTTCATATTTTAGAGCCACTTTCGTGTTGATTATATTTCCTAGCCGAATTTTCTACCGCGACAAGTCTAGTACCAAGAAACAAAAGAAGTCTCATCGGCCTAGGTTATATTTTGCAAGCCTACACTGGAAGAGCTGCTGAATATATGTTAAATAAAAGCTTGTAAAAAATAAAACAAGACAATTCGCTCGATTATGATCTAATAATTGCATACAATGTATTTTAATGGACAATTATTTTATTTCAAACACAGACAAACTATTCCAAAGGCACATTTAACAAATACCTCTATAGTTTTCGAGGGTAGAGTTATATGGACTTTTGGACTAATATAATTTACCGTACTAAAGTCATTTAGATCTATTCGTCAGACTAAACGTCGCTAAAGTCTCAACGCCATAGTGCCTGATTTGACTTTTTTTTAATTACGCGGTATCTCTTTCTTTAACATTAGCCTAATGACAAATGACGTAACGCGCGCCGCGAACTTGGTGACGTTGTGCTAAGTGTGGGATGAAACGGCGGGGTTGAGAAAAATGACGTATTTCTTTTTTTTTTTTAACAGACGAATAAGTGATAGATTCTAATTTTCCTACGAACTATAGGTTGATCTAGTTTTTTTTCTAGAGGGAGATATCACTATATAGTGGGTGTTTTTTGTTTTTGTAATAATGGATGGTGGGGATGGTTAAACATCGACTACTGAACAAATAAAAAACTGATGAAAGCAGAAGGCAAAGAAAAAAAAACGATGTGGTATTCAGATGTAACTAATTAAAATTTAAAACTATTTTTATAAACACAATAATCTTAATTCAGAAAAAGTGTAGGCCTAAGACCAATATCTACAGACAAAATAAACAACTAGGCTTAAATGGATCACCCATAAACAGTGCCGGCGCCAGGTTATTTAGCGCCCTAGGCAAAACTTAATAAAAGCGCCCCCCTCTTTTTTATGCCCCCGTATTATCAGAGGCATAGCGACCCTTCCCGGCGCCCGGGGACAAGCTTACGATTTGCACCCCTCCCCCCTCAAACTTTCATTTTGTTTCTCCAACCCATTTTGGCGCCCCCCCCCCCACTACGGACAGCGCCCTAGGTGACAGCCTAATTCGCCTTATAGGTAGCGCCGGTCCTGTCCATAAATGACGTCATACTTTTCCCGATGAATTCCCTTTCCCCCAATCGTCACTAAAAGCAAGATGTTGATTTAATATCATTTCGCAGTTCTACTATTCCCGAACGCGTAATCACAATTTCTAACGAAAACGAATATATTCTTCATCATTTTTAAAAAAAATATTTTACCCCGTCCCATATTTTGAGTCCAACGTCATTTATGAAGAATATGGACGACCTAATAATTGACAAGTTCATTAGTACAAAAGGGTTTAATAAATCATGGACCTCCCAAAAGTTTTTGAGATCTTGGATGGGCCATCTTCTTAACTTAAAGATAAGAAGATGGCCCTCTGTCCTACTTATATTAAATAAGACAACTATGTATATTAAAGAACAAAGTCAACACAATATACATACGAATAGACATTTGTATAAAGGGAAACTACTCTAAATTTTATTTGGAAAGATGGCCGCTGTTTTTATCTACTAATATTTATCTCAAACACCTAGTTTAAAGTTAGTTTCATGTTATTTTAAATCGTTTTGGTCACTGATTGTTATTTTAAATCAATTATCTGTTATATTTTGTAAAATTTTACTTAAATATACTTATTTAAACAAATATATTCATCAGTTACCTCCCCCGCACATTACTACTGCAGCCGAATTGATTACGCTAAAACGATAGATTACCCTAATAAAAATAGTACCATCAAATACTATTTGACCTACCAATCCAATAGCAAAACATTTTTACATACAGCTCATTTTTCTAGTAACAGAGACAGAGGAGATGTTTTAATTTTTGGGTAGGCCTAATCGCTTGTAGGAAAAAAAAACACAGAAAAAAAAAAACAGAAAAAAGTCACAGGAAAAAAGTCACAGAAAAAAAATTCACAAATATATATTTGCATGATACTTTTTAATACTTTTATGTATTAATATTCAGAGAGTGCAAATTAACTTAATTAATTAAATGTAATGTGTGTAGGCTGTATACGCATAGGAATTTTTATAATTCATCTAAAAATATTTAGTATGAAGTATGTAGATTGTAATTATTTTAAACTTAAGATTAGTAGCGTTTAATAGAATGCTCCAAAGTCCACGGTTTTAATCCTGTTTTTTTTTTTAATTAGCAACATTAAATTACCGTGAAATGGTAAGTTCGTCTGACTTGCTGCCCTCAACTCATGGCCACAATAGTTATGTTTAGATGTTTAGTTCAACCACCTTTACTGCCCACATTTATCACGCTCATTACATAACAACACTTAGGACCAAAAAAGAAAGCCGACAAGGTTCAAATGCTGTCATTGACGCATGACGTCAACAACACAAAATATGTTCGGAAAATGCCTATTGAGGAGAGGCCGACCAGAGAATAGCCTACGGCAAAATTTGCCTAAATTTCTTTTATAATTAAATTTTTTACTGCGTTTTTAACTAAATACGGAACAAAAGTTGAGATTGTTGTGTAAATTATATTAGAGTATTTTTACTTACAATTGTTATAAACCATAACGCTTTTAACGTCTATAAATAATTTATGCTATAAAAAATACAACCCACAACAATAAACATACAAAATTTTACAATTCTAAACCAATAAAAAAAAATATTTCTAAAAATATTTATGTGACTTTTTATCTGTGACTTTATTTCTGTGATTTTTTTTCCAAAATTTTTTTTCCACAGTGACTTTTTTTCTGTGACTTTTTTTCCGAGCAAAAACTGTGACTTTTTTCTGTGTTTATTTTTTTTTTGGTGACTTTTTTCCGTTTACCGGCCTAATCACTAAAATAAAGAGGGCGTTAGGAGCCGTGTGGTATTAAGCCCCAATCAACACCCCACCCCCACAAAACCCCCAATAACACTGCTAATCTACTTCTGAGGTAACAACCAATGCTGTTCTTTGATAACAGAGAAGCAGAGGATTCATTTTATGTAATTTATGACCCACTTGGTCCAATAGGGAGAGGATGAGACAGGATTTAATCCCGATTGTAGGAAAAAAAAAGTCACAGGAAAAAAAACCACAGGAAAAAAGAACACAGAAAAAAGTCACAGGAAAAAAAGTCACAAATATATATTTGCATGATATTTGTGAATACTTTTATGTATTTAATATTTAGAGAGTGCAAATTAACTTAGTATTAATTAAATGTAATGTAATGTGTGTAGGCTGTACACGCATAGGAATTTTTACAATTCATCTAAAAATATTTATTATGAAGCAATATTTTAAACTTAAGATTAGTAGCATTTAATAGAATGCTCCCAAGTCCACGTTTTTCATCGTGTTTTTTGTTTGTTTCAAATACCAATATTAAATTACCGTGAAATGGTAAGGCCATCTGACTTGCTGCCCTCAACTCATGGCAACAATAGTCATCTTTAGTTTAACCACCTTTACTGCCCACATTTATCACGCTCATTACATAACAAAACTTAGGATCAAAGCAGAAAGCCGACCAGGTTCAAAGGCTGTCATTAGCACATAACGTCAACTAACCAAAATATGTTCGGACAATGCCTTCTGAGGAAAGGCCGATCAGAGAATAGCCTACGGCAAAATGTGCCTAAATTTCTTTTATAATTAACTTTTCTACCGCGTATTTAACTAAAAGTTGAGATTGTTGTGATATCTTTAGAGTATTTTTACTTTATCTTAGAGTACTTTTACTTACAATTGTTATAAATCATCATGCTTTTAACGTGTATAAATAATTTATGCTATAAAAAAATACAACCCATAACAATAAACATACACAATTTTACAATTCTTAACTAATTAATAAAAATATTTCTAAAAAGATTTTTGTGGCTTTTTTTCTGTGACTTTATTTCTGTGACTTTTTTTCCGATAAAATTTTTCTACTGTGACTTTTTTTCTGTGACTTTTTTTCCTAGCAAAAACTGTGACTTTTTTCTGTATTTTTTTTCCTGTGACTTTTTTCCGTTCACCTGATACCCGCCCCCACCAGTTTCTGGACCACTTCTTTCATCTCTTTGTAGGTAACATGGATTACAGTTACAGATCTCAGACAATCTGGGGTGGCATGTTATGTAATATAAGACCTTCATGGTCTAGCAGGGTGGAGACCAAAGAGGAATCAGTACCACTGCTCTCCCCTCACTATTTCTCACCTCCATGATAGCCAGACCCCACCAGTATCTAACCCACCATAAAACTTCATCTCTTTATATGTAACATGGACTTCTTAGATCTCAGCCAACCAGAGATATCATCTCCTTATGTAATTTATGGCCCTCAGGGTCCAGCAAGGAGAACAAAGGGGAAACCAGTACCACTGCTCTCCCCTCAACATTTCTCACCTCCATGTCATGTTATGTAATGTATAGCACACATGGCTTATCAGGTGAAAGCATTAAGGCAGATTAGTTAGTACCACCCCTTTTTACATACAAGAATGTTAACTCTGGACAGCTACACACTAGTATACTAGCTACACACTAGGCATACTATTGTGCCAACTGTAAACTACTAGACTGTAGGCCCTATGTACACCTGTAATTGTATCAATTGTAGACTGGGCCCATTGGTGCCTAGTGATAGCTAGTATCAGTAAAAGTGTGTGTACACAGCATTAACTATTTTGGGGTTAGAAATTAATTATTTTTATTGCGGAGTTAGTCTAAACTAGGAGATAATACTTATTGCCCCATTGCCCGGCTAGTTTCACCCCAAAAGCTGATTTCGGGGGTATGACAATAAATTTTCAATTAAACCCATTTAAAGTATATTTAATAGACTTTGTAATTATTTTTATATTGTGTAAGATATGTTAGAATAATTTTGCCATATTTTCAATACTAAAAAATTCTTAGATTAGTAGAAATCTTTAAAAATGTGCAGGTGCTAAAAAGTGTGGCTCTTAACGCCCTCCTTTACCCTAATCATTGTAAATTGTAATCTATCAGTATTTTTTTTAATTTAGGGTAAAACCTTAGTTTAGCGTCGGATATTATCGGGTAATGTTTGTTGAGTTTCAGTTACTAAAGT